ATATGGTTATTGAGTCAAAGGAAAAGCATAATTCTTATGTACAGTCCACTGCCATTGAACACCATAAACAACAAGCATTGAAAATTTATTAAGGTCCGATACGTAATCGAGTCCTAGCACTCTCAGCATTTTAACACAATTAATATAAAAGAGACTCATTTAAAATACCAAAATAACAGCAACACATGCTATGGTTTGCAAGCAACATGCCAGCAACAATTCAGACACGTTGCTTGGGTACATAATTTTATTTAATTTATATAAATTTATTAATAAGATACATTAATCATCTAATTATTCTTATGTTTTTGAAATATCTAAATAAAAAAATTCTTTTTAAATAATTTCTTTGAAAATCAACCACGAATTACATTGCGTTATTTCTTGTAAAAAACTGAATCGAAAAGTCCTGAAATATTTTTTTCTACAGCATCAAATAAAGCGATCATTATTGTAGTAATTATTGCTTCATTGAGCATTGTAGAGAAAAATAATTCAGGACTTTTCAATTCAATTTTTTATAAGAAGTAAAGCTATATGATTAATGAGTGCTATTTGAGAACTATTTTGTCTACAATGCTTAATAAAGCAATAATTATTGTAGTAGTGATCGTTTTATTGAGCACTGTAAAAAAAAATGATTCAGGACTTTTCAACTCACAAGGGAAGTTAGGGAACCTGAAAATTCAGAAAAATCTGAAACTTTGTGTAAAAGTAGAGCAGTTCATCCGTAGTACGAAACTATTATATTTTTTGTAGGTGCTCTATTCCGTTTTGAAGAGATGAAATCACCCCTTGAAAAAAATCGGTTTTTTTCTTCCGACGTGAATATTGTCGAAATTATGAGAGATAGAAAAAAATGTTCTAGATCAAAGTTGAATAGCTGAAGTATACTTTATGATAGTAATAAAAAAATTAAAAACAAATTTTTTTTTAATATTTTCCTCACCACTTCACATTTTTTTTTAGTTTTTAAATTTTTTTATGACCAGATTAAAGGTTATTTTAATACAAATTCAATCATGTGTACAAGTTCAATCATCAGTTATTTTCCAAAGTATCATTTTCAAGAAATAATTTCAAACGCCTCTATACGCGCACCATCTGTATCTGTACTCATTTACGTTGCGCGCACGCAGCAATTCTTCACGCAGCACGTTCTGATTCGCATTTTTGCATTTAACAAGGGATAACGATTAAAGCAAATCTATTTTCGCAATATTCTGCGGATGTATAACTATGAATCGTTTTTATTACGCACGGCTAGACAACAATGTTTACAAAGCAAAATTTGAATGTCGTAGAATGTCAAATGATGTAACAACTTGTCAACATTGTAAACAACTTATTGCAGGAACAGTCTATACGTATAATCACGGAAGTTTCTAATCTTATCAGATAATATTTGCGAAGCATTTGAATAAGCATTTGAATATTAATTAATTTGAAGATTAAAATAGTGAAAGACGCATACACACAGTAAATTATGCCTATTTTTATTGTAGTATATAATATAAGTAGGAATGCATGTTGTGCAATATTCAATGATAAATTAAAATTTGTGCTATATGGAAGTTTTTTGCGTGGACTGTGGTGTCTCTTTGTCCGAAGGTACGTTATAATTTACATAAATAATATTTTGCATTTAACTTTGATTATTATATTTTTTTATATTTGTGGTATATAGTTTCCTTCACTAATTGTAAAATGTGATGCATGTGTTACGTCCGGTGGACTCCACGATTTCTTCGTTTTGTGAACACGCGATAAGGTAAATTCTTAAATATAATAACAGCTATCAATAAACAAAATACCTAGACCCAACGAAATTGACCGTTGTCGGTTTCCTTGGGAAGAATTCGCTTTAAGCAAACAGTATGGAACCGAATGTGAGGGATCTTTATTACCAAAAAACAGATAAGTTGTATCTTACATTACATAATCTACTCGCGACAAAAACCTAA